TAAACCAAATGATAGGTTAACCTTTTGTATCTAATATCTACTACATTGCCTTCGTGCATCCAGTCATACAGTCTGGCCACAGTATTTAAATCCTTACCATTATTGAAGGAAATTCTCAGGATACTCTGAATTCATCCTGTGATGGGGAGAAAAACGTGTGTCCTACATCTTCTAGGTATTGCTTTTGTTTCTAAAACCCCGTCTCTTGTGATCTTGTCTTAGAAGATCCACTAATAACAACTCAGACAGGGACTTTCTGAAGGATGGTTATGCAAAACAGGTTCTGTTATACATAAAATACCAATCTTTAATCAGGGATCTTATTGCTTCCATTCCTCAACACCAGCTGAATTTGAGGTAGTGAAACAGATTTGCAATACTTACTAGAGTAAATGTCAGCATGGCAGATTGTGGATCATGTAACTTAGCAGGGAAGTTAACAAATGGCTATCTATCTGCTATATCTATGCTAGTTATTTACAGTGAAGAGGGTTAATCAAATCTATTTATGGTTTATGTTGGAAAACAAGGGAGGGAAAATCACTGTGATATGAACATACAGTAAAGACACATATACAGAATATTCTTCCTTTTGTTTGTTTATAGTTTTTAATTTTTATTTATTTATTGATATTTTTTTGAGTAAACTTTTTTTCAGGCAATATATTCTGGTCACAGTTTCTCTGCCCTTAATCCTTTCATATTCTACCCATCTTCCTACCCACCCAATTCTATGCCCTTTCTTTCCTTCTCTCTTTTGAAAACAAAGAGGCTAAAACAATAACTACAAAAACAAAATGGAATTAAAAATATTACACCAACAACAAAAAAAATTGTTCAAAATGCACACACACAAAACTGAATTAAAAAACAACAAAAAACGACATAAGAAACATACACTCCCACACACAAACATGAAAATACAAAATCAAAGATGATAATACACAAGCAAAACAATATTAATATACAAAATGTCCAAACAAAGCAGTAGGAGACAAAAAGTCTACAAAAATACCTCTGATTTTATTTTGGATCAGCATCTACTGCTTGGAATGGGGCCCATCCTTAAGTGTGCTTTATATACCCAGTGAGACTTCATTAGAGAAAACTGATTTCCCTTTACAAGCTGGCATCAGTTGCAGATAGCTTCTTGGTTAGGGATGGGTCCATTTCCCCTTCTCAGGGCTGATTTCATCTACCAGTCAGAATGTCAGAATGGCCCAGAACATCCAGGTAAATGATAGTTCATGCTGATAGGGATGTGGAGAAAGGGAAACAGTTATTCATTGCTTGTGAGAGTGTAAATTCTTATAGCCACTTTGGAAATTAGTGTGGTGGTTCCCCAGGAGATAGGAATGGGAGCTTCCTCAGGGTCCAGCTATACTAACCTTGGACATATGCCCAAAGGACTCCACGTCCTATTACAGAGCCACTTGCTCCTCCAGTTAATTGCTGCTCTATTTATAATATCCAAAAACTGGAAAGGGCCTAGATGCCCATCAATGGATGAATGGGATAATGAAAATGTGGTAGAGTTACATAATAGTATATTATTGATTTGTTATCAGTTATCAGATATTTGAGATGAGCAGATTCAACCAATAATTTTCAGGGATATTTTCTTTTTTATTGTTACTCCCAAGAAATGAATCAAAAACAAAGTGAGTATTTGTGTGTTATACTCTCACTCTTTAAATATTAATGGAAACACTTTTTAAGCTTTACTCAAGGGTTACACGGGAAAGGTTTGCAAGAGATTGTATATAATCCAGGGAATATCATTCTTCTAGTCAAGACTATTCTATCATCTAAGTAACTTTTCTATCAGAGATGTTTTAGTTCAATTTCCACTGAGGCATATATACTTGAATTATAAAATCAGTTAAGCTTTATCTGATTTCAATGAGCAAATAAGAATTGATATTGTACTCTGGAAATTCAAGATATGGTTTACTCTCTATTCTTCATTATTTGGGACAGTAGCCTTAGATCAATTAATTAATTAATTTAATTAATTACAACTAATGCACAAATGTATGTCACTGTCAGATTCCCCACAATGAGGCCCTGAAGTATCATGGAATACTGCTGAGAAGATGAAGTCAAAGTTTCAGTGAAGAACAGAGGATATTGGAGAAGCAACTGGCATGCATTGAGTATAGTCAGCCCAAGAGGTAGGCTATGTATGTGTGAGGAAGAAGGTAGTGGCTGGTGGGGCAGGAATACTTAAGTTGTTTGGACCCCCATTGGTACCTCAATGGGCCCCAAATGGTAGATATGGGGAGACCAATCTTGATGTTGGTCTTGATTATTTTGGTCTTATCATTTCTCCCTGTAGCCCTCCTCCATTCTTCCATTTTGATGTTATTGAATGTTAAAAATATATAAATTGTTTTTCATGTTATAGGGATTCAAATTTGAGAGAATGCCTGAATCTGGAATTACAGTCTTGAACAGTATCAGAACTAATAAAGAATAAGTTAAAGGGTAGAGAGATGGCTAAGGAGTTAAGCAAACTTCCTGCTCTTTCAGAGGACCTAAGATTGGTTCACGGTATCCACAATGTCAGGCCTACCTTTGGTTCTAGATCCAGATTTGGTGTCCTCTTCGGTCTTTGGGTACCTGCAAACAAAGGCTATTTTTCTTTCAAGTATTTGACAGAATATTGATGGTTTCTGTCTCCCTCCATTGGTGGGAATGCAGGAAAACCTTGTTCTTCAAAGGCCCAGGAAAGCTGCAGACTTCCCAATGCTTCCTATGACTGCTAAAACTGAATGTTAAACTACGAATATTGTGACCTCACTTACTATTGAAAAAGAATCCGCAGAAACAAAAACCTTCACTGTGTGGATGGAAAAACTAAACATAACTACAAGAGGTGGTTGAAAAAAACTGCGTTGTTTCTAGGTCTTGATTACGGACTTTGGTGTTTATTGTATTTACTCTACTTTCAGGTTTAAATTTTATAGTATTCACCTATAGAGGAGGCTGCAGCTTCCTGTGGCTTGCTTATTTCACTTAAAATCACGTCTTCCACTGTCATCTGTTAGGCTCCAGTAGTCCGAGTTTCATTCTCCTCTATTGATGAAATATATTTGATTATTTATTAGCTTTTTTTTTTTTTTTTGGTTTTTCGAGACAGGGTTTCTCTGCGTAGTTTTGCGCCTTTCCTGGAGCTCACTTGGTATCCCAGGCTGGCCTCGAACTCACAGCGATCCGCCTGGCTCTGCCTCCCGAGTGCTGGGATTAAAGGCGTGTGCCACCGCCGCCCGGCATTAGCTGTTTCTTATCCTTTCAGCCCCATCAGTCTTTCAGCCCCTTATCTTAACTATTGGGAACAGAATCACAAGAAATAGAATCAAGTGTCTCTTCAACACCATGGTTCCGGTTTCTACAGATGTGTTTGTAAAGGTAGACCTGAGATTGTACTGTGTAACAGCTCCATTTTCATGTTTCAATATCTGTACTGTTCTCTGTAATGTCACTATTAAATTACAGCTCCATCAATAGTGTATAAAAGTGGCATTTTCTGCACTGTTTCTTGAGTTACCACTTCTTTGTTTTGTTTTGCTTTTTATTTGAACAGGCATTAAAATGATGTGAGCTGGAATTTAAATGTAGTATTTTATTTCTATTTTAAAGCATAACTGAGCTGCAAGCTTTCTCTCCACTGGTTTGTGTTCACCAGGCAGAAACGTAATAGACAACTTTTGGAAGTGAAGTCATTGGTTATCAGACCCAGTTAGAGACCTGTAAGTTACAGCTATGATATCCTGGTGAGACCAGTGCTACAAACTGGTTTCTGGTTGAACTGGGAATCTACACTACTAAACTGAACTCCTGACTTATATTGTAACCTGGTCAAGAGTCCACACCTGGGAAAGTTATAGGCCCTAGAAGAGACCTGCTATTGCTGTTTCATAACCATGGATTCACTGCAGCCATGGTTACCTGTGCAAAGCTTGAATAGGTTGGATCTGTCACCATTTCATCATTCATGAGACAGGCTCTAATGAGACCCTAACCCCCACTGAAGGACAATGGGAAGAAATGGGAGTTGGGAAAAGGCACCATGTTTTTCAGTAGTATGGCCACTTGTAAGGCCGTGTTCCAGGAAATAATCTTCTTCCCATGCTCAACCTAGTAACTAAAAATAAACCCATTTTTTTCAGAGGAGTCTTGTTAGCATGGAGAAGTGTTTAATGGGTCAAAGGAATGAATGAGAAGGGCTAATACTGTGTGAAATTGTCCCAAACTCAATATATATATATATATATATATATATATATATATATATATATATATATATAAATAATCAAAATTGTTTAAGACATGAAAGTAAATATTGAGAACCATAAATTTCAAAATAGAGGAAAGTGATCTCAATTTGCAGAGAAAAGTAAGTTTTAAAAACACAAAGAAAGATATCACCAAGTGTGTGCATGTTCTTTCTCCACACAGAAAGAAAAAAGTATTACATAAAATATCTCTTTATTCTTCCTTTACATTAATGTTTATGGGATCATGTCACATAGTCTAAATAAATTTCATAGTATTTTCACTGAATAAAAAGATATCAAGTGCATAAATAGATGAGTTTGTACAACCATCGAACCAAACTCAAAATCCTCATATCTTAATATACATTTTTTTACATGGGATAGAAAATCTTGTTTGTTTTATTCATAACAAGTATAAACATATGTAATTTTTTCATAAAAGTATCTATAGTGCTGAGAGTGGAAGGTTTTCACAATGCCTAGATTGTGGGTCATATACTACTAATTAATGCATGGACAGGAAACTGAACCTAAATACATGAAAATAATTGATCTTGGTATTAAAATGCATTAACCTCAAAAGACTTGTCCTGAGGGTCAAAAATGTTGTATTATATTTAATAAATTAGTTTTAGTGTCAAGGGTATGTCTCTGTAAGGTATTTTCAGTGAAAGAATAAAACCCAAATTCCAGTTCCCAACACTCACATCAAAGCCAGGTTTAGCCGCACTTGCTGTAACCCCAGCACTCAGGCATAGACACAAGCAGATCAAAGTGGCTCTCTGATGAGGTATTCTCGCCAAAGAAAAATTCCTCACTCCGCAGGAGAGCCTATCTCAAAAAGTAAAAATGAAGAGTGAGGTTTACTCCCCCATCTTACACATATATAACACATATACCCTCCCCACACACACATACATACACACACACCAAAGTCACCCTCAGATAATTAGGGTATAAAATAAAAGTTTTTATATTTTCCAACCAACTAGTTTTTTTTTAATTATTTGTCTTTGTTTTTGTTTTTGAGACAGGGTCTCTCTATGTAGCCTTGACTGGCCTGAATCTTGCCATGTAGACCAGACTGGCCTTGAACTCATGGAGATCCTCCTGCTTCAAAATCTCAAGTGCTGGTTTTGAGACATGAATTTTAAATTCTTAGTTATGTTTGCAGAATCGTTTAATGGTTAGCCCTACTCTATTATACACAATCCTTGAGGCAGTCCCTCTTGCTCGAGGCATGAAGATTCTTTCTGCAATGTTCTTTCAGTAAGAAACAACTCAGATTTCTATTCATATTTAGCTAAAATACCTCCATGGTAATTCTCCTTTTGCAAGCCTCTGTCCAGGCACTTACACAAATTTCACTGAAAACAGAGCTTCATTTATTTCCATGAAATTCTGTAGTGGCAAAGGGGAATCGAAAAATCCCCATGATTTTATTGTTTATAAAAGAAACTGTATTTTGTTACTTATCTGAACTTATGATAATCAAAACACAACTCCAAGGAATCTATGTAAACTTAGGTTGACAGACATAATGTTATTGTTTCCAACTCTAGTTTCATTTTTTTTCTATTAAGTAGTAACTGTAACCACTTTTCAAGAAATTTGCAATTTTCACCAAACTAGATTGTCCAGTTCATATGAATCTATAAACAAGAAAACACTTTATCCTCAAGACTTGTTCACTTACTATAAAATGTGCATGGGAAAATTGCAACAGAGACATGAAGCAGTAAGTCTCAGCTTTCTTCTTTGTGAGGACAGGAGTATAGTATATGCTATGGCATCAGGTAATGCCTCAATTATACTTCCAACAATTATAAGAGCATGAAATCAATTGTTTTGTCTATCCAGGCTGGGATTTTCTCTTGGTTATAATACACTGGAGGAAGATTGTTTACACCATGAGAGTCATTGTAGGCTATGGCTTCTGGAACTGAAGTGGAGTGAAGAGAGTTCAGAGGCAAGAGAGATCCCAGGTTTCTTCATTTCTATGAAACCTAAAAATGCAAGGCTGTCCACATCTGTGAAACACTGTGAAGGCACCACCAGAAGCAGCTGAAGAAGCCCAGCCCCTGGTAGTTTTTGCTATGGTCTGTATCACTGTGGGAGGCAAGCTGTTACCCTGCTGACAGTAATAAAGTACAACATCTTCAGCCTCCACAGTGTTGATGCTGAGCGTGAAATCTGTCCCTGACCCACTGCCACTGAACCTGGAGGGGATCCCAGAAATGGACTCAGAAGCATACTTGATGAGAATCCTTGGAGCCTCATTTGGTTTTTGCTGATACCAGTGTAAGCTTGTTCCAATACCCTGGCTGGCCTTGCAGGCCATGGTGACTCTTTCTCCTGGAGTCACAGACAGGGTGGCTGGAGACTGAGTCAGCACAATGTTGCCTCTGGAGGCTGAAAACATCGGAGAAATATTAGTCAGAACACGACATTGCATTTGAAAGTCACTCCTAAACTAATTTAAAAAAAAGGTAATTTTTCATATCAATTTCTTTAAATAGGAAGCCAAATTCCATATGATGCTGGGCTTCCTAATGATGTAAAAAATTCTCTCTTTAATTAACGTCTCTACTTTTTGCCATGTCTAAAATTTCATACCTGAAACCCAGAAGAACAGAAGCCCAAGGAGCTGAGATGTGGACACCATCTTCCAGCTTTTCCTGTGTTTATGTGTATCATGACACAGCCTGTAGAAAGACCTTCTTATAATATTGTAAGAGGCAGAAACACTAGAAGGAAGAAGTACTTATGCAAATGATACTGACTGTATATTGATTGCAACAAAGAACTCCTCTGTGTCATCTTGAATTATATCTCCCCCTTGTGGTTACTTGATGAGATGTGAAGATTTGAAAGTGATTTGTGCTTTGTATCCCACATACAAGGTTGTAAAATTAACACAGTCTAAGTAAGTATCTTGGATAAATTCAGAAGTTTGAAAGGAAAAGCATCTCATATCTATGGTCTTGGTCCAGGATTATATTTTCTTAGTTGATGTTTCTTACAATATGAGCTGAAGCATTTTTAATTGTCGGAACATTCACCAAGCATCACAACATTAAAGAAATATCATGTTATTGAGATATCATGGACAAGAAATTAGAAAGCCTGGATGTCTTAGGAAGACAGATTTCTCCAGTAGGGAGAATGGAAGCTTTATAAAATTTTATGGTCTGCCACAGTAGAGAAAAACTTCAGAGATCAGGATTTCAAAATATGTTTATCACTTCCCAGATAAAAACCAAATATTGTACCTTGCTTGTCTTACCACTAAGAGTGATGCAGAGTGCCCTGGGTGTGTTTTTAGAATGTTCAAACAAATTCTTTCCCTAGTATATGATTTTTCAAACTACTTAAAAGACCATGATTCTGAGACAGTCTAAATGAGAGAAAATTAATTGCATCAGGTCCATTTGAAGAGAGAAGTATTCCTGTCACTTGGGCCAGATAACCAAGCTAGAGCCTATTTATTATATAAAAAGGTCTGAGCATTTTAAAATGGTCAATAGCTGCAACATGAGCTGCCAAGATTCTAGAGCAGTGAGGATAGCAGGAAAGGCAAGCCCTCATTCAGTGTGAAATCAGTGTGCAATTCCCTCAAACAACTACAAATAGAACAACCATATGATTCAGCAATGTCATTCTTGTGGATATACTCAAAGGAAATATAAACTATGGCAGACATAAATTCACCCCCATGCATTTTTTGGATCTATTCTCAACAGTGAAGGAATGGAATCAACTAAAATGTCCACTAGATGATAAATGGAAAATTAAAATACAGTTTATTTGTACAATGGTATTTTATTCAGCTATGAAGAATCATGAAATTATTAAAAATTTTGGAAAATGGATGGACATAGAAAAAATTAGAGCGACTGAAAAAAATTTGCCACATGTCACCAATGGAATCGAATTGAAGACCCTGACATTAACCCACAAACCTATAAACATACAAATTTTGACAAAGAAGCCAAAAGGGTACAATGGAAAAAAGAAAGCATCTTCAACAAATGGTGCTGGCATAACTGGATGTCAACATGTGGAAGATTGCAAATAGATCCATATCTGTCACCGTGAACAAAACTTAAGTCCAAGTGTATCAAGGACCTCAACATAAATCCAGCTACTCTGAACCTGCTAGAAGAGAAAGTAGGAAGTAGTCTTGAACACATTGGCATAGAAATCACTTCCTAAATATAACACCAGTAGCACAGACAGTGAGAGAAACAATCAGTCAATGGGACCTCTTGAAACTGAGAAGCTTTTGTAGAGCAAAGGATATGGTCAACAAGGCAAAGCGACAGCCTACAGAATGGGAAAAGATCTTCACCAACCCCACATGTGACAGAGGACTGATATCCAGAATATATAAGGAACTCAAGAACGACCAACAGTCCAACTGAGAAATGGGCTTTAGAACTAAACAGAGAATTCTCAACAGAGGAAACTCAAATGGCTGGAAACATTTAAAGAATTGCTCAACATCCCTAATCATCAGGGAAATGCAAATCAAAACAACTCTGAGATACCACCTTATGCCTGTCAGAATGGCTAAGATCAAAAACACTGAAGCCACTTTATACTGGAGAGTATGTGGAACTCGGGGAACTCTCCTCCACTGCTGGTGGGAATGCAAGCTTGTACAACCATTTTGGAAATCAAAATGGCGCTTTCTTAGAAAATTGGGAATCAATCTCCCCCAAGATCCAGCTATACTACTCTTGGGCATATACCCAAGAAATGCTCAATCATACCACAAGAGCACTTGCTCAGCTATGTTCATATCAGCATTGTTTGTAATAGCCAAATCCTGGAAACAACCTAGATGCTCTTCAACTGCAGAATAGATATATAAATTGTGGCACATATACACAGTGGAATACTACTCAGCAGAGAAAAACAATGACATCATGAGGTTTGCAGGCAAATGGATGGATCTAGAAAAAAATCATCCTGAGTGAGGTAACCCAGACTCAGAAAGACAAATATGGTATGTACTCACTCACAGGAGGATGCTAGATGTGGAACAAGGATGACTGGATTGCTACTCACATCACCAGTGAGGCTACCTGAAAAACAGGACCCCAAAAAAGACACAGAGAAATGGAAGAGATCTACATGAACAGCCTGGACATGAGTGGGAGCAATGAAGGGCAAGGGTCGAGGGAAAGAGGGCAGGAGATCCTAGCTGGATCAAGAAAAGAGAGGGAGAACAAGGAATAGGAGACCATGGTAAATGAAGACCACATGAGAAAAGGAAGAAACAAAGTGCTAAAGAGGCCCACAGAAATCTACAAATATACCCCCACAATAGACTGCTGGCAATGGTCGAGAGACAGCTGGGACTGACCTACTCTGGTGATGGGATGGGCAAACACCCTAATAGTTGTGCCAGAAACCCCCTCCAAGGACTGAGGAATCTGGATGCAGATATCCACGGCTAGGCCCTGGGTGGAGTGCTGGGAGTCTAATTAGTGAGAAAGAGGAGGGTTTATATGAGCGAGAATTGTTGAAACCAAGGTTGGATAAAGCACAGGGACAAATAACCAAACGAATGGAAACACATGAACTATGAACCAAAGGCTGAGGGGTCCCCAACTGGATCAGGCCCTCTGAATAGGTGAGACAGTTGATTGGCTTGATCTGTTTGGGAGGCATCTAGGCAGTGGTACCAGGTCCTGTGCTCATTGCATGAGTTAGCTGTTTGAAACCTGGGACCTATGCAGGGACACTTGGCTCAGTCTGGGAGGAGGGGACTGGACCTGCCTGGACTGAGTCTATCAGGTTGATCCCAGTCCTCCTCGGGGGAGACCTTGATCTGGAGGATGTGGGAACCAGGGGTGTGCTGGGGGGAAGGGGAGGGAGCAGGAAGGGAGAGAACAAGGGAATCTGTGGCTATTATGTAGAAGTGAATAGTATTGTAAAATAAAATTTAAAAAAATAAAAAAAAAGAAATTTGCCAAGTCTCCCTGATATGTGAATTGCAACTTCAAATTTTTTAATTTGTCTGTTTAACTTGATCTAAGAAGCTTTAAAGGGGCCTCCAAATTGGGATGTCTTTGGAGGGATGAGAATAGACACATGTGTTAGAAAATTAAAGTAGGCAGGTACTTTGGGAAGAAATACTTGTTCATGATTTGCAGTGAGGGATTGAGAAAAAAAAAGTGAGGTTAAATATATTACAATGGTTTACTAATCCCCAAAAGAAAACAAATCAGACTAGTAAATCATATTTGATGAGCAAATTTAGGATGAGTCATTGGAGATAATGGAGTATCTGGTGACTGGTTTTATGCAGGTATTTAATACAAGGAGCAGATATGTGTAATTAGCATTTCATTAACAGTACAAGAAGACTGTACCATAAAACAGCTTTCATAGAATTTTAGAGTATATGGTGTATCTATTATCATTAACCCACACACACATGGATACTAAACTATGATGGAGAATAACTATTTCTTTTTTTCTCTTTTGTTTTCTTACCACTTTCTTTCTTTCTTTCTTTCTTTCCTTCTTTCTTTCTTTCTTTCTTTCTTTCTTTCTTTCTTTCTTTCTTTCTTTCTTTCTTTCTTCTTTCCTTCCTTCCTCCCTTCCTTTTTTCCTTCCTTCCTTCCTTCCTTCCTTCCTTCCTTTCTTCTTCTCTGCTTTCCTTTTATTAAAAAATTGAATTTTTTCTCACAATATATTCTAATTATGGTTTCCCATCTTTCTATTCCTTCCAGCTCCTTGCCAATCCCCCACTTCCATCTAGAGCCAGATCCTTTCTATGTCTTATTAGAAAGCAAACAGGCTTCTATGCAATAAAGAATATCAATAAATAATAAAGTAAAATAAATAATAATAATATCAATAAATAATAAAGTAAAATAAATTAAAACAATAACTAACACTTTGGAACTGGACAACACAAACAAACAGAAGGAAAGAGCCGAAGAAAAAGACTCAGTTGCACACACACTCAGGAATGTCACATAAACACTAAACTGGAAGCTATAATATATATGCATAAAACAAGTAGGGAAATAAGAAGAAAGAAAAATATACAAACACAAAAAATTAAAATAAAAATGATAAAATTTAAAAATGGAAGAAAGAGACAAGGAACCTCCAAACATGTTGAGTTTATTTTCTCTTGGTTATCTGATGCTATGCATGCAACCTACCCTGAAGAGTAGTTTGTTTTCTCAGGAAACTAAATTTTCATTTGGAAGTGGTTATAGGTCAACAACTAGAGACAGCCTCTGGTTAGGAATGGATCATGTTTCCACTTCTTTCAGCTCTGGGACCCCAACTGCTGTAGACTCTGTACATGGTGCTTCAGTCCCTTTTAGTTCATTTGCATGCCAATCATGTTGATTTTAAAAGACTTTGTTTTCTTGGTGTCTTCTTCACCTGTCCTTCTTAGATTCTTTCTACTTCTTCTTCATGAGCCCTAAGGCAAGTGATTCAAAGGAGATAATCCATTTAGGACTGAGTGTTCCAAACTCTATCACTCTCTGCATAATGTCTGGTTGTGAGTCTCTGTATTTGTTTCCACCTGCTGCAGAATAAAAGCTTCCCTGATGATAGCTGAGCAGAACAGTAATCTATACGTATAATAGAATGTCTTTAATAGTCATTTTATTTGTTGTTTTTGTTTGATTG